AAAAAAAAAAAGGGGGGAAAAAGGATTGGCAAAAATGGATAGTAAAAAGATGGCATTTGCCGATGTACGTCAACGATGCTACCCCCTCTCTTGAGTAGGTATGCGTCGTTGCACCGAGTCTTGTGCATATCTTCGTTCTTGGGACTCAAATGGCACCAAAATGAACCTCACTGTATCGACATGTAGTCGGGCGCACCGATCCAGGTGGAACAAGCTGGCGTTCTTGCCTGGGCCTGTAAACTGGGCACGCTACAATCTACCTAACCGTCGTAATCTCTGGACCATCAGAGGCACCAATTGGAAGCTTCTCGCTCACGACTAAATCCAATCTTTCATGGCGAGCTCTGTTATCAATTGAAATTGCGCACAGCTAAGTAGTGAAGATGTGGCCCTACTCGAGGCTCCAGACAGCCACGCCGGTGGCGCCGATCTTGCCGTCCTCTCCGCCGACGAGCAGCGTGGCGCCCTGGGGTGCGGCGGGCAGATCGACCTCGTCGGGGCCGTAGTTGAAGGCCCAGAGGGCGTTGCCGTTCCTCCTGAAGCGCAGATCCTTGCCCAGGTCCGTCTTGCTTCCCTGAGGCGTCTCACCGAACAGTGTCTTGACGCCGGCGCTGCCAGCAATGTCGCCGAGGTACGACACGAGGAACTCGACGGGTGTGTATGCCGAGACATAGTGCGTCTGCTTGTCGCCATCCTTGTTGCCGCACGTGGCGGGTGCACCATCGCGGTAGCCGTAGTACGTTGCAGACGCGTAGATCGACACCGAGGCGTTCTTGCCGTCGCGCTCGCACTCGATCCACTCGACCCAGCCGGACACGTTGTACTGCTGGCCGCCGTAGGAGATCATGTCGCCAAAGCCCTCCTTGATCGTCTCGACGCGCGTTACCTTCATCGGAAGCACATCGCGCACGGGTCCGTTGCTCGGAGGAAGTCCATCCGGAATCGAAAGCGCAGCCACCTTGGACGCCGAGCGGGGGCCGAACACCGATACGCCCTTGTAGTTCGACCAGGTCTCGACGAATTCCTTGCTGAGGATGGGCATGCTGGGCACCGCCACCATCTTGTAGCCCTCGAGCGGCGTCGAAGGGCCGACCACGTCGACGTTCAGGCCGAGCCTGCGCAGCGCCGAGTACCAGTTGAGCACCAGCGGGAAGTACTGCATCGACGGACTCTCGAAGCCCTCCATGTCGACGCTCCAAGTGCCGGACTGAGGCTCCGCCTCCATCAGCCACTGAGCCGCATAGTCGAACACCAGCGCAACATCTGCCTGCCCCTCGGTCTTGGTCTGCACGGGTGCATTGTCGGCAACGTCGCGCTTCTGGCTGTCGTTCGACTCGAACAGGCTCATCATCTTGGGCAGATCCTCGTGCACAACCTGCTGCTGCTCGAGGTAGGCGTGGTCGGGCACATTGTCTCGGCGCAGCATGGCAGCGTGCATCTGCTCCTGAGCGAACGGCACCTCGCGCCATCGGAAGATGTTCGACATGCTACCACCGTGCGCAAACGTCTCGTGCTGCCACAGACGCACCATTCCGAGCTTCGGAGAGGGGTTGTAAGGCGCCCAGTTCACAGGGCCGGGCTGCTGCTCCATGATACCGAAAGGTCCGGCAGTCTTGTTGTACGCAGCACCTGCTACACCACGGTAGAGGTCGTGGTGAAGCGCCTGGAAGTCGGGCGTGCCCGTTCGGCCATATTTGACCTTGTCCGAATCCGAGATCCAAGCGAACTGCTCCGTGTTGCCGAGCGGGTAAGAATCCCAGGTGGCCAGGTCGATGCCCGTCTCGCGCGCGAGCTTGAAGTGGTCAAAGTCGAGGAAGGCACCCATGAAATTGGTGGTGATCGCCTTGTCCGAGTGCTTGCGGATGATATCCACCTGCGTCTTGGCGTACTCGATGGTCATGTCCGACGAAAAGTGGTAGAAGTCGAGACGACCGGCGGGGCTGCTTTCAGTGACCTCCAGCATGGGCAGGTCGACCTGGTCGAAGGACTGGTATGTCGAGGACCAGAATACGCGGCCCTCCATCTCGTTGTACAGCGTGATGTTGTTGTTGTACTTGTCCGCGAGCCACTGCTGGTAGCGGGTACGGGCGTTGTTGTCGTACGTGCGCACCGTGCCGTGGCAGCCCAACTCGTTGTCGATCTGCCAACCAACAACCGCGTCGTGCTGGCCGTAGCGCTTGGCCATCGCCTCGACGAATCGCTTCGACAGCATGCGGTAGTCGGGAGAAGAGGTCGAGTAGTGTCGTCGCGAACCGAACTTGCGCACGCGACCCTGGGCGTCAGCACCGAGGATGTCGTAGTTCTTGACCGCCCAGATGGGAGGCGTGGCAGTAGGTGTGCCGAGGATCACCTTGACACCCTGCTTGTGCAGAGCCTCGATGGAGTTGTCCAGGAGCGACCAGTCGTACGTGCCGTCGGTGGGCTCGAGGATGGCCCAGTCGAACTCGCTGATGCGTGCGTACGACAGCGTGGCATTCGCCATCTTGGCTGCGTCATCCTCCCACAGGAATTCGGGCCACTGCGCCGGGTAGTAGTCCACGGCAAAGTGCAGACCCTTGGGCCATCTTGACGAGTCGGGCTGCTTGGTCGACGAGAAGGGATACGCCTTGGTGTTGTCCACGTCCGGCTGGATGTAGTCGCGCGAGAAGAGGTTCGTTGCGTCCAGGTCGAAGTCGCGTGCCGGAATGGCAGAGGCGATCGCTGGGAGCAGCGCGACAAAGGCGCTGAGTCTTGTCCAGTTGCTTGCCAACATTGTTGCGGTTGAGCGTCGTGAACAGGGTGGCAAAGTGTCCAAGGTGTGGGCGTAGAGCTGACGGCTATATATTCGAGCCGCACCTTCGTCAAGCGCAAGTCTGCCAGGCTGAGCCCCGCATTGTGACCCCGCATCTGGAGGAAAGACTCCGGCGCGAGGCCGGAGCTGGCATAGCGACGATCTCGGCCTTTGTTGAGCCGGAAGAAGAGACTCGCACAATTTTAGCAAAGCGGCACCATTATGCTCGTTGATGCACAGGCCGGTCATCGGTGCGGGGGCAAGATTTCCGAACTCCGAGCTCGCATCGGCGAATTCCTGGTGTTCTGGCAGTCGCACCAATGCAGCGACTCGGGGCCGTATGGCATGGAGCAGAGCGGCCAACTCGGCTCGAGTGGCAATCCTCCTCTACGGCTAACCGAGTTTGCTCTGTCCTACCTTTTTCGGACCCCATCGGTCGGTTTTGATCGGCGTTCGGCTCCTCGCTTGCATGTCCCCAATCCCCTCTTGTGCCTCCGTCCGACAACCGCCGCTGCCGGCAGAGGAGGCGTGCGCCATCAGCTGACTTGCACGGTACCACTCGGTCCTAACTGGAGCCCCGGATGGTCGGGGAAAGCGTGTGTCGCTCAACCCATACTGGGGCGCAAGACTTGCTCGGAGAGGCAGGCTCGCGCCACAATCCCATGCGACTCGTTAGACCCGCACTGTCACCTTGGCTGTCCGGTCCCCTCAGACGACAGTATCAAATGCCGAGGCGCTCAGGTAGTGGTCGCAATCGCGGTCTTCCACTCTCTCGGTCCTTAGCGATGAGAATCGACGTCTTGTCGAACGCAGACAGGCTGCCATTGTAGACCGAAGCCTGGAGCACAATAATAACGTCGTCCGGCTCAAGCGCCTGCAGCGGCACCTGGAGCTCCACATTGGCCTCGTGGCGTAGGAAGACTCGTAGAGTTCGTGTGTGACCCGGCGAGTCGGTAATGGCGACCGGCCAGAACGGGCAAGTCATCGGCTGAATGAGGCCTTCCACCGAGGCGACCGTGGCTACGACGTTGACAGACTCGTTGTTCCCGTAGTCGTCGATCTCGTCAAGTGGCGTGAATTGCAGTCGTGAAGATAGTGGAATCTGTTCAGGGCCATCGCGGGTGATTCGCCACATTTCGGCTTGCGCACTGCTGGCACTAGCCCTCTCTCGTCGACGCAGCAGATAGGCGTAACGGCTGGGCGGCACTGAAGCCCGCTGCGCTGAAACTTCTGCGACCACGTTGACTGGAGCCGGCACCTCGGCGGAAGGGCATTGCCCGTTCGCAGGGATGACAGGCGATGCAGATTGCTTCCTTATTCCGTACGTGGGAGTCGGGTTACCCAAGAGATCAACCGCAGCTACAGACGAGTCAGATCGCTTCCTTCCTCCTAAGGTGGGCGTTTGGTTTCCCAAAAGATCTACAGCAGCATGTCTGTCGATGATGTCGACACCCGCGTCGTTGCTCGATGTCGGCCTAGTCCATACAGGTGGTGAGAAGGAAGGCGTCTTGAATCTTTTCTGGGCCCACATTGTGAATCTCCCCTGAGTCGATACGAGGTGGCGGTGGAGAAGAGACCATGTGCCGGATATCCTACCGGGTATATGTACTTGGAGTTCATGTTGCTTTCCGCACTCTGCTCAAAGCTTGACGTGCGGGATTGCTCAAGTGCGGAACCTCTTTCCGGAGCTCAGCACAGGTACCGTTGCTCACCCAGTCCGCAGAACGAGCTTATTCCCTGGGCCTGGAGCCCGCTCCGCGTGCCAACGGAGTCCAGACCCATGTTTAAGCTCCAGCGATCGATGTATGACGGGACCATGCCAGGGACATCCCATCCAGCTCATTGCCGCAGCTCTCATCATGTAAGGTGTTGGTTGCTCAGTCCGCACTTTGTATCCGCACCCCAGAGCTCAGTATATAAGCCAGGTCCGCTCGTCGCTTCCACCGTCTCCGAGCAACCACCTCGCAGGTACACTTTCAGTCCGAGGCTCTCGTTGGTCCATCTCCCCCGGCACGAACGAGCTTGTAGGATCGCCTCACTCGCCCCATCCCTTAACAGCGCCGTAATAGAGACGAGAGACAGCCATGCGTGTCCTTTCGAGGAAGGTCATTCGTAGCGATGCTAGGCGTAGATTCATGGGTATGTACGCTGCAACTCTCCATGCTGGTTGACACTTGAGGCTGATTCCTTTCTCTGTTGACGTAGCCGCCTCGCCCGCCCCGTCAGTGGCCGTTAGCAGTCAGGACACTACCATCAGTGTGAGCGCCAGTCATCCGGCTCCTACAGTCGGATCCTCTGCCGGCTACACAAGGGTCCCCGCACGTTCACACAAGCGTCGAAGGCTTGCGACGCCTCAACTGCCTCAGCAACGAATCGCACCTCCAAAGAAGCCCAACCCTCACACCTCCGTCAGGCGCATCATTGTAGAGCGTCACTGGACTGACTGCAGCGCCTGCCGAGCAGCTGGAAAGAAATGCATTCCTCCCGTCCCCGAATCAAATCAACGAAAGTGCTGGCAATGCCGCGAAAGGACCAGGAAATTCTGCGACTGTTGCTTCTGGATGGACATCGGTAGCGTCGAGAAGTTCAAGCAGCTCCTTGACTCCGGTCTTGACGTTGAAGAGGTCGATCAGAGGGTCTGGGGATCGTTCCCGGGCGTCCTTGGCGGTCCGTTTGACAAGTGCAAGACGTACAGCTTCGCTGCTGAAAACACATCGCACGACCACGAATTTGCATTCAACCCCGCTCTTCACAGGCTCTAGCGCTCGAACGGCTGTGCTACCTTCGCCACGGCTCAACCTTCGCCACAGCTTCGGTAGCCTTGACACAGCACAAGGCAGTCAATGATGCGATCGAAGACTATGACTGCACACGACAGATCAGAACGAATGCGATGGGACCCCGCAGCCCACCTCGCACAACCACGACGCAGGTGTCAAACACTGCCCTCAGGCTATACGGTATTCTCGCTGACGATAAAGAAATAAAAAAATTGTGCCGTTTTCTGGGCAACATGCTTGAATCGCACAATGGGAACGAGACGTTGAGATCCCAACACTGACACTGAAGCAGGCTCCGAGCGTTGCAGACACGGGCTCACTCGGGGCATCCGTCGATCTCAACGCTCAATCGCATCACAAGCGGATTATGAGAGCGCATGTGGTATCAGCATTGCAAGCAATGAGCGGTCATGGCGTAGTGTACAAGTTTGGATCTGAGTCGAGTGTGCTTAGGCCTTGACGGTAGCGCGGTCCTCGATGGACTTGTTGAGGCCATGCTCCTTGATCCACTTTGGCGTCTTCCAAGGCGCGATGTTTTGCGAGTAGAGATACTCGACGTCCTCGAGGGCCAGACCCTTTGTCTCGGGGATCATAAAGTAGACGTAGAACCAGGCAAAGACGAGGATGGAGCCGAAGATGAGCATGATGAAGGGACCGTACTGGGTGGCGATCTTGTTGGAGAAGTAGCTGAGGAGGAAGTTCCAGAGCCAGTTACTTGCGCTTCCGAGCGAGATGGCCTTGGCTCTGGTGGGGGCGTTGAAGGACTCGGAGAGGTAGAGCCAGGGGCCGGGGCCGAAGCAGCAGCTGTAGAAGATGAGGTGGATGATGGCGAACGAGATGAACACGGCGCCGGCCTGGTGTTGCGAGGCGGTGATCATGTCGGCCGGCGTATCCTTGGGTGCGGTCTTGTAGTGACCGACAAAGGCGACGATGAACGCGCACGCAGCCTCGCAAGAAGCACCAATGAGGAGCAGAGGCCTACGTCCGAGCTTCTCGATGGCGATCAAAGCGGGGACGGTGGCGAGGAGCGATGCGGAGCCGAGGATGAACTGGATCTGGAAGGGGTCGAGAGGCAGGGCGAGGGTGGAGCTGAGGAGCGGGAGGTAGTAGTAGTAGAAGTTCTGACCGTTGAGTTGCTGGAGCGTCTGGAGCATCATGCCGTTGACGGTACGCTTCCACATCTGGTTCTTGGTGGAGAAGCAGACGAGGTAGGAGCCGAGGTAGCTGTGACCGGCAAAGATGCGGTTCTCCTCGTCGATGCCCTGCTTCATCTCGAGCAGCTCGGCCTCCATCCACTTGTCGCCGCGCATCTCGCCATTGACGTCCTGGAGCTGAACATCGCGCATGGAGGCCATGATCTTGCGCGCACGCACCACCTCGCCGTTCTTGAGGCAGTAACGAGGTGATTCGGGGAGGAAGAACATGAGCGAAAGCATGACGATGCCCCACAGCAGTTGCAGACCCACGGGGATCTTCCAGGCCGCATCGGACGTCTTGAAGTTCTGGGTGGCCCAGCTGATTCCGTACGAGATGAAGATGCCAAAGATGATGAGCAGCTGGTATCCAGTCACCATGGCACCGCGGATGTGCTTGGGCGCGGTCTCGCCGAGGTAGAGCGGGCAGAGACCCGAGAGCGCACCCACGCCGAGACCGGCAAATGCACGGCCGACGCAGAACTGCACCCACGACGAGATGGTCGAGGTCTGGATGATGGCGCCCACCATGAATGCGGACGCCCAGGTGATCATCGAGGGCTTACGGCCAAAGAAGTCCGAAACGGGCGCTTGAAGCAGCGCACCGACAAAGGTACCGATCGAGAGAGACGAGTTGATGAGCGAGGTTCGCGAGTCCGGAAGCGCACAGCCGTCGGGACCGCAGTCGGACGGGTCACCAAAGGCCAGAACGAAGGGCTTCATGATGAAGCATCCAGAGATGACACCGATGTCGTAACCGAAGAGGAAACCACCAGTGCAGATGGCGAGGGCGAGGACCTGTGCGCGGCGAGTCATCTTTGACGGCGCGGGAGCATCAAAGCCCTGGACCTGGTTGATGTTGACCTCGCCGGCATGGACGATCTTGAGGTCATTCTTCTCGGACTTGTAAACGTCCTCGTGGGACGAGTTGGAAGGAGACTCCTGCATTGTGGGCGGTAGAAAGACGATGGTGAGGACAGGTGGTGGACGGATGCGATGTGGGGATGGTGCGAGGGATGCGGGGGATATATACTTTGCAGGATGGACCGGACGCTGGGTGACTTTGCAGAGGCTGGGGATGTCGTCAGTTTCATCAGCTCGGCCATGCGGGGCGGCAGAGACGCGGGGCTCGATGCGAGCCACCGGTGGGGTGCAGTCCGGGGTGCAGAGGCGTGGGTAAGAGAAAGCCGAAACGGATGGTCGAGCGAGGTGAGAGCGAACCGCAAGTCAGCCGGTCGAACACCCGTGTCTTGACAGCGAGCGGTGTTGTGAGTCAAAAGGTAGAGTGGAACAAGGTGAAGATCTCCGAAGCCCGCATGGAAGCAAGCAACCGACCCGAGCTGACCCTCCTCGAGCCGCTTTGCAAGGCGACGGTCCATTTCACTAACCTCACACGCCTTGCTGCACTCTTGTTCTGATGAACCCAATATCTATGTGTCGTTGTGATGCTGATGCTGGCAGCGTTGCATGGCTTGATTGGTATGAAGTTTGAGCATGGCAACCGCTTCATAGTGTGCGAAGACAAGCGCCTCGTGCTACTGCCTTGTGACTGGCAATTTGCGGTGCACTTCAGGGCGAGATGCGATTCGGGAATCTCGAGGACCGGTCATTGGCAAGCCAACCGGGCGCTGAGCCGAGAGACACGATGAAGGGGCCACAGTGCGCCTGTGAGTGAGCCGCGAGACCGAGGGAGCTCTTAGCGATGCTCGGCTAGACGAAGTATCCTCTTGTACGCGCGGGGTTGCTTGGCCTGCTGGCGTTTTGCCCCTCGCTCGCGGAAAATAGGGCAGGAGTGGCTACGGAGATCTCTGCCGCCTCGGATCCATGCGGTGCATGCGCAGTGTTCTGCATCACATCTGCAGCTGCAGCTCAGCGCTTGAGGTCGATCTCCAGACACGGCGGCACACACGATCTCAATTTATGAACGGCTTTAGAACGCCCGCATGTTTGTGCAGTACTCACGCCAGCCTTCATCTGCGGCTCTTCGGCGGTTGCAAGGTGCTTGCCGCGAGTCCGGCCAGATGAAGGCTGTGCGCGTGTGCGAGGGTTGAGCAGCTGGCTTGGACCTGACCAGGCGAGCTCGCTTGCCCTGATTCAGCGGACGCCGCACAAGGACCACCGATGGTCTTTGCCCAACGTGGCCGTTTCCAGCAAGACGACATCAAACAGCAACGACTGCACTCGTCCCCGCTCGAGCTCAGTGCTTCGGTCGAAACGGCCTAGCCGGAGGACGGCGAGCGCTGAGATCCGCCTTGAATTGATGGCTGCTGCGACACGAGCGTCATCGAGCACTGGCGGAGTTCCAATCGAAGCCGTCGGCGTGTGTCTGCTTTGGGGGACTGACGGCAGGCGGACTTGAAGTGGCAGGCAGAGCGCGCTTCCATGTCGGACGTGGAAAATTGGGCGGCATGGAAGCAAGTCGCACAAAAATCTCCTCGATTCCCGCGCTATTTTCCGCCATTGTGTGCTGTTGGCCGGCCTTTGCTCGCCGTCGTGCGACCCATCGCCAAGAGCTCTGTATACGAGGCTGCTCAAAGCCTACCTTCGGTCATGCTGTACAAAGCGCGCCTCATCGAGCAAAGGGAGCGAACTCCGGGGATGTCGAGTGTGAGGATGACGCGAGCCCTTACGAGGGGTCGTACGCGGTGGTCAACCGGCAAACTCTCGAGAGGCGGCAACCCACGCGCTGGTTCCCCCCACAACGACCGGCAAGGCTGCCACTCTTCAACTCCGCTCGACACTAGTAGCCGCCTTCGCCTTTCTTGGCCGAGAAAGCCGGGTGCCGGACACACGCTAGCGACCGCCATGACTCTTGGCTCCGGTCACCTCCTTCCATACTAGGCGGGCGCAACACTGTCACGCGCCTCCACACTGGTGCGGCAATCCAAGCAGCCGTGCAAGATTTCCGAACATCCTTTCCAGACACGACGGCGATCTTTGCGGTGACACTTTATTGACAGAGTGCGACCAAGTCCGACCGGACCTTGGCGTTGGCAGCGAAGAACCAGCGCTTCACTACGCCGGCAATCTCTAACGACGATCGAAAGGTTCTCCAGCAAGACCCTGTCGCCACGCGGGGTCGGCAGCTACATTAGCGTCGAAGAGACCGAACGTTCCTAGCAGGGGTTGAGAATGTGCGGGGTCCGCTGTGTTTCGCGAGCTCAGTTGGCTCGGTACCAGTGGCCCTCAAGGCCATTCTCAGGGTAGGGTCGCAGCAGCAGCGCGAGAAGCTCGAAGACACAGATGTCCCGGGAGTGGCGAGGGTCGCGGAAGAGTGCATCGGGATCGGGGCGCAAAAGCTGGCATCGCCGATGACCACCGTTTCCCGCGCCGTCCAAGATCGCTTGAGACACACACCTGCCTGAATCCTAGCCATTTGATCAGCGTCATGCGACTCTAAAGCGGCATGCACTCATCTCAGGGAGTCATTGTTTCTTCCTCGGTATGCACTCGGCTTGCAAGAGCGAACGGTCAAGGAGCAGTTAAGCGATCTGAATGGCTTGAATTGCATGTTCAGACACCACGTGCAGTCTTCGACGAGTCGATGGGTATCATAAGGGCGGGCGAGAGTGTCAAATACGAACATTGGTCAAGATAGTGACCATGGTCAAACACCTTTCTCCTCCGAGCTGTGAGCTACAAGCGGGCTTGTGTCCGGCACTTGAGCTGCGACGGGCGGTTGTGTATGGGCGACTAAGGGTTGACCGAGATGCGGCCGCTCCTGCCGAGAGCAAACGACCAGCGCTTCATGCCCCACCTGCGCAGGTACAGCACGCGTGGGATGAGCGTGTACTGGTGCATACGGTGGTTGACGTGGACGGACGGCATGGCTACAGTGTTTGATGAGCGACCTTTTGGGTGTGTTCGTTGCGTCGAGGTTCGTGCTCTTCGGTTTCCTAGTCGTTCGATTCTTCGGGACGATTGAGAGGTCCTGGCTCTGTTGAGACGATGGTGATGGTGGTAATGAAGCAAGAGCGAAGGGTGTAACGCTTGGTGGCTTAAGAGGGACTCGAGGGCCCGTGTGAAAAAAGCTGGCTGCGGACAACCCTTGGCAACGTGGCTGTACAGCGTGTGGAGGCTTGGACGTGCAGTGACGGCTCAGACATACGTCACTCGGCCATGTGCCCCAGGCTATTTTCATCATTTTTGGATTTAAACTGTTAGGGCGTACTAGGGACACACAGACATACCGCTCGAAATTTAAAATCCGCAAGAGCCGTCGTGAGGCCCTGGTCGGCTTTGTGATTTTGGCGGTCCCCCACGCTGTTCTGCCGACGGCCCGCTGCACCCTGAACACGGTCAAGGTGGGCAGCCGCAGCAACGAGTGTTGGGGCCAACACTGCAAACTCAGCCAACCTTGTGCAAACAGCACCTGATCCTTAGCTTCTCTTTCCGCCGCTCCCTCCGTCTCAGGCGATAGCAGGATATACGCCAGCAGTCACGCTTAGCGACCGCAACCATCACCGCACTCGGTCTGGCACGCCGGCCAACTACAGCATCGACCGCTTCCTCCGCCGAAGTAGAGGACGCATCAGGATATAAACGCGCTCTTCCTGCTCACTTGAACTATAGGCGGACAACAGCATATGACGACAAGAACCCTACGATACACATCTTCTACACTTCGGAGCACTGCGAGTGTCCGAACACCAAACTGCACAAGAACATCGGCAGCACTACCGAGAACACGCCTGATCATGTCGAGCGTTGCACAAGCTTCGGCAGCCAATGGCGGGTCGGCCATGCACAAGATCGCTCGCAACGGGTTCGATTCGTCGGGTGGCTCTGGACTGTACGATCGCGCGCGTCCTTCGTACCCCCCCGCAGCGATATCGACCATCATCACGGAGGCGACCAACTCGGCATCGCCGGCGCCTCTTCGCATCGTCGAGCTCGGAGCGGGCACAGGTATTGCTACTCGCATGCTGCTTGCTGCTGCCACATCGGCTGCAGCCGACGGCACGCCGCCGCCGGGAATCGCATCGCTCACGGCCATCGAGCCGTCCGAGGGCATGCGATCGCACTTTGAGACGGCCATCGCCTCGGGTGCCGATTCGCTCAAGCACCAGATGCAGAGCAAAGGTCTGCTGTCTCCGCAAGCCAGCATCTCGGTGGAAGACGGTGGATTCGAGAGCTTTGATGCGGGCAACGATAACGATGCGGTTGTGGTGGCACAGGCCTGGCATTGGTGCCAGGATTGGGACGGCGCACTGAAGCAGGTCGCCAACGCCCTCAGGGCCAAGGGAATCCTGGCGCTCATTTGGAACCTCGAGGACAGAGAGGCTGCCCCGTGGGTCGCAAAGATCCGCGATCTGTACGAAAAGTACGAAGACAACACGCCCCAGTACAGGCACATGTACTGGCACGCCATGTACAAGACTCCCACCCTAGCAAGCGAATTTGTGGCGGATGAACCAAGGCACTACCACCGCACTATCCCGACTACGATCCAGGGCGTCATCGACCGCGTCCTGTCCAAGTCGTACATCTCGGTTCTGCCACAGGAAAAGCAGGACCAGCTGGCCAAGGACATCAAAAACTACCTCGATACTACGCCCGACGAGGTGCTCGGCCGCAAGTGGATCGACAAGGAGGCGGGCGTGTGGGAATATCCCTACCGCACTGACCTCTTCATTTTCCGCCGCAACTAGATGCTCTCACACCGCGCGATCCACAAGCGCAATGCTGAACATGAATGTGTCAAAGCTCGGATCTCTTGCACCGGCTCATCGAGTGGTGGCCGCCTCTTGAGACCGTGATGAACCGCCCGTACGCCGGTATGGAAGCATCTTCTTGCTCTGCTCGCTGGGCAGCCCGCTCGCTTGTCAATGTCATGGCTAGAGGCTCGAGCAACGCATCGATCCTACCTGACTTGCGGATCTCCACCAGACGCCAGCGAGGTGGGGGATATGATGAGACGCCCCACCGGATGAGGTGGGCAAATGAGGTTGCGTTCGCGCCACGCACCACACTGCCCATCGAGCCATCTTGAGCAGCACTACAAGTCTCTGCCTTCAACCTGCTCTCCAACACATCCGCTCGTCACACTGCAAAAATGTCGGACGACAAACGCGATCTTGAGCGGCGAACAACGCACATCGTCGTGCCGTACACGGACGACGAGGAGGCGAGCAGCTCGGCGACAACCACTCTGCTGCCTCAACCGCAGGCGTCAACTTCAACCTCCAAGGCACGACGACGATGTTGGCGACTAGCGGTGCTGGTGGGTGCGATGCTCGCCATGTGTATCGGTGTGTTTGAGTTGCTGTTCCACGGTCGGGAGGTCGAGTCCCTACGCGCCGCACACGAGCAAATCGCACAGCTCAAGCACGATCTCAGCGAGCAGATCCAAGGCGGATACTACAAGATCATGGCTGCCACTTACCTCCGCCCATCTACAACGAGCGACGTAGATCCAAAACTGAAGGCGGTGATGGAGAAATCGGTCATCGTGTTGAAGACCGGTTCGTCGGTTGCGTACGATCGACTTCCCGTCCAGCTCCTTCTGGCACAGCAAGCCCTCCACCCCGAAGTATACCGCAGTGGAGAGGATGGGTACAAGGGTCCTCAACTGCTGCTGTACTCGGATGCAGAACTGCATCTGGGGGAGTTCGAGGTGCACAATGCCCTCGCCAACGTGTCGGACTATGTTCGAAAGCAGCCGGATTTCGCTCGACAGTATGCGCAGTTGCAAAAGCTGTTGCAGGACGATGACCTGGCGAGAGTCAAGGAGTTTCAGGATGGGTGGAACCTGGACAAGTGGAAGTTCCTATACATGTGGCAAGATGCATACCACCGTCAGCCCGAAGCAGAGTGGTATATTGGATACGAGGCCGACACATATGTTCTGTGGCCATCGCTATTCGCCTACCTCGGCACGCAAAACTCGAGCCAGCAACAGATGTATGGATGCGCATCGATCCTGGTTCGCAACCAGGAGCTGTTTGCCAACGGTGGATGTCCGTACGTCATCTCGAGTGCCCTGATGCGAGCCACCTTCGGCAAGGATACGGATTTTGCAGCAAAGTTCGACAAAGAGGTCGAAGCGTCCTGCTGCGGGGATGCCGAGTTGAGCATCGCGCTGCGGAAATCAGCCAGTCCACCGATCCAAGAGCTGGCGCCCACCGGGGGGAGGTTCGTCAACGACCGTCCGCAGGAGATCACCTTTGACGAGAACAACTTCTGCGAACCGGTATTCAACTTCCACCATCTTACGCCGACCGAGATTCAGTGGCTCGCCAACATGGAGCGCCAGATTCGTACCGCCAAACCTAACGCACCCGTGCTGTCTGCGGATATCTTTGATCACGTCCTACCGCACAAGCTCCTGGACGCCGTATCGGCAGCGGGGACGAAAAGCAAGAAGGGTGTGGAGCTGAATCCGATGCTGGAGGATTGGGAGGCATTCGGGAGCGGGGATAACGGCGTCAAGAAGGGCAAGCGAAGCAAGGATGTGGAGCAATGCAAGGCCGAGTGTGTGGCGAGCGAGGGATGCACGACGTGGTTCTGGATCAAGGTCACGGAGACCGACGAGGACGGCGACTGCTACATGCTGCACGATCGCGTGCGCGTGGGCAAGGCGTACAAGGGCACGGGTGTGCGCACGAGCGGATGGATCGGCGAGCGTGTGCTCGACTTTAAGAACAAACACGAGTGCAAGAATCCGCCCACCGTCTAGGCTCACCGACTGGGTATTGTCCACTCATCGCTGTGTTGTTGCAAGTTTCAGATTGATCGTAGAGCCGTGTGATTCGACTTGCGACAATTTGAGGTGGTGGTGACGAGGTGGCGAGACGCGTGACGACCGAGCTCCGCGCGGTGGCGGACCGACGCTTGCCGTATCCGCACATTCTACACTTCCGCACCTAGCTCAGTCGCAGAGCGGTGAGACTCGTATCCCGAGGAAGCTCGTTTGCATGTTGGTTGAGTTGGAGCGTCGAGGTGTTTCCGCTTCCGCACGGTGGAACCGCTTCCGCAGTCGAGTCCGCTCTGCTATATCTAGAGCGTCTCGCTCGACGGTCGTCGTCTCCCCCTCTCCCATCATCCGACCTCTCCATTCTTCCTCGCTACAGCATCGACTTCGGCGACGCACCACACATCCATCTCCCGTAACCTTTCGTCAACGTCGTACAGCTACTGATTGATCCAAGCTACACCCCCGCAAGCACCTATGGAGCCCGGCGGTTCGGATGCCAAGCCGGAGCGGCCGGGCGAGCCACCTCGCGAGCCTCCTCGCGAGACTGAACGCACCGTCCGATTGGACGGACGACTGTCTGGGCGCGGTCGACCCGAGGATGTGACCAAGGCCAAGAGAGAGATCGCGCTGTAAGTCTGACGCACGATACCTTCTGATGTTTGATCGTGCTGACGCGGCTGTTGTGTGTAGAGCGTTTGACCTTGCGGACGAGTTTGCCAAAAGGACGGTTGCAGGTTCGCCGATGTGGGACTATATGGAGGCTCAGTGGCCGTACGGCTATCCCGATCGTGCACTTCCGGACATTTTCCACCGTGGCCTCACGCTGGCGTTTGTTCCGCCGAGCTGGAAGAAGAAAGCGTACTGTCCGATCTGGACGACGCTCAAGCGACTTGGCTTCCACCCGGACGACGAAGAGCACGTGTACGGTACACTGGAGATCGCGTTCTTTGCGATCCTCGCACTGGAGCTGCGCACGAGCGGCGGACGATGCCTGAGCAAGGACATCAAATTCGTCAAGGACCAGCACCGAATCGCGTTCAAGGAGATCATCTCACTCAACAATGTGATTCGACAGTGGATGGAACCGGGCGAGGCGTACTTCGAGCGGCTGCGCGAGCCGATGCTGCGCAACGCCCAGACGAGGATCGAGGTGGTGGGGGCTCAGATTCAGCTGGCGCGGGACAACGATTCGACGGCAGCGGGACAGAGGCACATGACGCTGGAGGAGCGAAGGAGGCTGGGGGTGGAGAGGATGAGGATCTGGGCCGAGGCTCAGCATACGTCGATGGTGGGCTACGGTGTTCAGGCGGTGCTGCAGCAGCTGTGGGCCAAGGCGGAGGCTACGTGGCTGAGCCGGGTGCGACAGTATCTCGGATCGGACCGGTCGCAGTGGAAGGAGGTGCGCATGAGGTGCGACGACGAGAGACACGGATACTGGCTGCCGACATACGACCAGGCCATGCTGCAACCGGCGGATGTCATCGTTGACGAGGCCAAGACATACCTCCGACGCTATCTCGAGCGTCGAGCCGCATCGCTGTCGCAGGGCAGAGCGGACAGGTAAGTGCCGAAGCATTGCAAAAGGGCAGATCGGGCACCCGACGCTGACTCGATCTCGATTCTCCTTGTTTGCAGTGGAAGCGCTGCGCAGAGCCAAGCCTAAAGACGGGGCAGGCGACCCTGCTTGCAGGCGAAAGGCTGAATGAAATGCAGTTACAGTGCCCTCTAGCGAATGAATGCCAGCGAGATGTGCGGAAGCGGATCGTCTCCGATGCGGGTGGTGAGGCGAGGAGGCGACAATGGCCGCACAGCACTCGACGCAATGCCGAGGCAGGGTGCGGTCTGGGCAAGCACGCGCTCTCGGTCTTGGCAGGGCGTGGCGTGGGCTGGGAGCGCGCCAAGCATTGCTCGCTGGGCTGGGCGGTGCAGCGTTTTGCGCAGTTGCGCAGCTGCTGCTCGAGCGTGCGCGCGCTTGGCTGGTCGCAATCGATCCAAGCGTCCAGCTTATCGCAGCGTTGAGCTCGAGCCGTGACGATGCAGGGGTAGGAGCATGTCGGCGACTCCGATGCGCTCGGTGGAGTAGGCTCGATAAAGTAGCGGCCCCGCCCAGATCGCCGAAGCGCATTCCAAAAGGCGAGAGGCGAGAGGATAGAGGCACGAGGAAAGAGCGAGCTTAAACCGCACTCGCAGCTGCACCTTTCGCCGAGACCGAGCTGAGACGCATGACGCATCCAACCAGCCAAAAAGAAAAAAAGTGCCAAAATGCCAAAATGCCAACCAGCCCTGCATCGGCACTCGCCGACAGCACCAGTGCCGGCCCATTCTTCCGGTTTCCCCTTCCCTTTTTCTCCTCGGGCGTGGTGACGAAAGGAAGGCAGAGTCAGCTTGCTTCCCCCGCGCACGCTGGTGCTCCCTCCACTGCGTCTCGAAGGCGCCTGCCTGTCAGACTGCGAAGCGCGGGAATCAGGCGCCTCCAGCTTCCACCGCCAATCGTCCTCCCATCAGCATTCGTCGTCCTCACCTTCCCATCCTCCCACCTCCCACCTCCCACCTCCCCTCCATCTGGATGTCGTAGAAAGCCGCAGACACTCTCTTTCCCACAACGCTTCACCCAAGCTCTGGACTAGCATCGCCTACTATGGCGCTCTCGCTCGTCATCGACGACACCTCGCTGGTGCTCATCCTCGTGCTCGTCGCAGCGCTCGCAGCCTCGATCTATGTCTCGCGATCCTACCAGCCCCTCATCCACCCGCTCATCCTCACTCGCCAGGCAGACGTCTCGCAGACGCGCCAACCCAACGAGTCGGCCATCTATCGCAATGCAAACTCGCCCGCCGGATTCGACCTCGCGCTCAGGCCGCGCAAGGAGATCAACGACATTGCCGACCTCATCAAGCACGGCGCCAACGGCTCGGAACGCAACGCGCAACGCGCCATTTATGCTTCGGTAAAATCGAACCAACAAGTCGCCGCGGATGCCACTTCATTTGCAACCGGATTCATCAAGCTTTCCTCGGCGCCCGTGCCGCAGACTGTGCTTGCGGTAGCCGCCGAGTCCGACTCTTACGAGAGCATCGTCGCGCTCCTCTCCAACGCACACACTTCGGTCAGCTCGCGTTACAACACCGTCGTCCTGCCTCCCAACCAGCTTGAGTCCGCATCCCCCGCCTCTCTCCCGCAAGCCCTCGCGAGCAAGGGCGCACGCTCCGCCATCGGCGTCTACACAACCGCCAAGTCCATCCGCGCCGTGCTCCAGCTCCCCTTGCTCGACTCCTCGGCGCTCATCATCGTCCCCGACGCTGATCTCCAAGAAGCCACCCGTCTCGTCGCCGACCACTTCGGCGCGTCTCACCGCCTGCGCCTCTATGCCTACGATGCGGTGCTTGCAGCCGGCAGCCCGGGTTCCCTGCTCGGACCCGACACCTCCTCGCGCGATGTCATCGAGCACACCCAGTCCCACTACTGGAACGCCACCAGCTCCGACTGGCTCGACGTCAAGCACTCCCACCTCGTCGCTGGCGTCACCTCCAACCTCGCCGCGTTCCCCGCCGACAAGATCCCCAACACCAACGACCACATCTTTGTCGAGGCATGCGCTGCCTTGGATTCGCCAGCTTCCAAACTCATGGCCACGCGTACGCCGCTTGGCTTCGCTCTCGCCCTTACAGCCCTGTACACCGGTGCTGCCCTCTCCGCCGACCTGCCCACGTCGAGCTACGACGATCCCAACCCGGCTGCCTCGGCCGCCTTTGCTCGGGCCCAGCCTACGCTCGTCTACGCCACCGCAGAAGGCGCTTCCTCGCTCGCCTGCGCTCTGGCAAGCTGCACACGCCGCTCGCCCCTCGCCTCGTGGGCAGCCACCAACAAGCTCTTTACGCTGCGCAACGGCAGTTTTGCCCGCAACGGCTTGGCCGACACGCTGGTGTACAACAGCGCACGCAGCGCCGTCGGCTGCTCGCGCGTCCGCACTTTGATGATTGCAGGCCGCGGAGACACGGTGCCGCAGGCGCTGCTCGACTCGCTGCGTGCCCATCTTGGCTGTGCCGTGCTCAACGCCTATGTGCCCCAGCTCAACAACGCGGCCGTCACGGCTCCCGTCAGCGTCACGCATGCGTTTGACCTGCAGGCGTTCGCCGAGCACGAGACGGCGGCCATGCAGGTGCCTGCGCACGTCGGCCCGCCCTCGGTCGCTGCAGAAGTCAAGCTGCTCCAGACCCGCATCGCCTCCGATGCGGGGCTTGCCATTGCCGGAGACAAGCCGGCCGGCCAGGCGGGCGATCCCATGGGCGAGGTGCACGTGCGCGGCAACGTTGTGGCACACTTTTCTCAGGCGGCAGAGGTCGACCCCGAAACATGGTCGGCTACGGGCGACCTTGCAGCCTTCCGATCCAACGGCACGCTCGTGGTGCTTCGCGATGCCGACGACGCCGAGGTGGCGGGTGTGCCTACGCTCAGCTCGCGCAAGCCCGTCAGGCGACAGCGCCGCACCGCCACGGCGGGCGCCAAGACCGTGCTGACCGCTGCGCTCGTGTTGGCTGTCTCGCTCTCGCCCACCGCATCCGCCGGCGTGCTGCACAAGCGCGGGAGCTCGGTGAACAACACCATGAGCGACATGGCCAGGATGGGCATGCTCGCCGGCCAGCGTGCGTCGTGGGAGCAAGGCGTGAGCCAAGCGGCACTGCTCGAGCTCGACTTTCCCGGCTGGTCGGTCTTTTCGTCTTCGTCCGGCGGTCCGCCCTACCGTCCTGGCCTGAACCGCGGTGCTTCGGGCCCACCGAACGAGGTGATTGGCATGGCGTACCACTCTGCCTCGCGCCAGGACAGTCTGGGCAGGCTGGCGTTCCGCATCACGGGCGACGAGCAGCTCGGCACGGGTAGCTCGCTCGACGGTGCCTCGCCCGGGCCCGAGGTGCTGCTCGCCGCCTGGCTCGACGGTGAGATCGACCGACAGACGGGTGCGATGGGAAGCGGGTTCTATGCCGACTCGGCGCGTGCTACGCTCGATATGGTGCTGCGACGCGCCCCGAGATCGCGCGCGGGCGCCATCAGCCATCGCCTGCAGTACGTGGCGCTGTGGAGCGATGCCATGTACATGATGCCTCCCTACCTCGCGTTCTATGGGCTCGTCACGCGCAACAATACGCTGCTCCAGCTGGCGTACGATCAGATCCGGCTGTACCGCGATGGCATGCGTCTCACCTCGGGCGCAGCCACGAATCTGTGGGGCCACATTTATCTTCCCGACAACCGCACCTGGACGGACGGTGGGGCGTGGGCGACGGGCAATGGGTGGGTGCTTGCGGGTATGGCGCGCACACTGGCTACGATCGAGCAGAGTCAGGCATCGCAGGCGATGGTATCGCAGAAGAACGACCTGGTGTCGTGGATGAACGAGATCCTCGATGCGGCGTATCCGCTGCTCGACGAGCGTGCGCTGCTCTTCCACAACTACATGTCCGATCGCTCTACGTTCTTCGACACGGCCGGTACAGCGTTGATCGCCTACGCCACCTACCGACTTGCCTCGCTGGCGCCGGGGAACGACAAGTGGGTTGGACAGGCCGATTTGATCTACCGCTCGCTCGCCACCGCGTTGAATCCGATCGGCCAGTTTCGGGATGGATACCCCGTAGCGGACGTGCTGGCGTTTGTCAGGCAGGGCGATACATCCTCCGAGTCGCTGGCGTTTATGATGCTCATGAACGCCGCCAAGCGCGACTATGCCAACAATGACGTCGTCCGCATCACGGATGCCCAGGGCAAGTCCAATGCGGCACCCGTGCTTGCGCCCAAGCTAGTGGCCGCAGCCGTCGTGCCGCTGTTGGTGCTCTTGTGCACCTGGCTTTAGATGGCGAAGTTGGGGATGCGGCTTGGTCCCTCGACCTCGGTGTCGAATGGAGACAAAGTCCTGGCCCCTCCGCCAAATAGGATTCTTTTGGTTTGCAATTTGTATAGATTGGACACGATCATACGCTCTCACAACAGGGCTGATTGATGGTGGCCTTTTTGAGCTTCAGTGTGCTTGAGAGCGACTTCATTGTGCTTGACAGCGAGGGAGAGGTTTGCAAAGGAGGCGTGCATTTGCACGGCCGACTCCGAACGCTTGTCCGCAAGTCGAGACTCGGCGGCAGGTGGGGGCGACGCTTTCTCGCTTTGCGTGCCTGCCGTCGAGACAAGACCTCGAGACTGTCAACCTCAGGATCTGCAGTATGCCTCCTCGCCTGTCGATTGTAGCGATTCAAGGCATGCCCATTTCGTCGACACGGCAATCGATTGCTCTGCACATTCAAGCGCAACTGTGCGTTGCCTCGTCGTGATCTTCTTCCCGAGAGATGGTGTGTGATTCCACGAGTGACAATAAAGACGCATCAATGCAAGACAGGGGGTATGGATTTACCGGGAGTGGTGGGCGTGAACAATGCGGGTCTAGGCACCCGTGCCCGCATCATTGTTCGCCTGGACGAGTGCATGGCTTTGCGGCATGGCCAAGCTGCCGGATGCACTGGGCATCGCCACGACCGCAGGGCCACTTGACGGCAACGGCTCCTCCAGACTCGCCACGTACTGATCGAGCGAATTGATAAACGACGCCGTAAAGGGGCTGAGCGGTGCGACGGGGTAGCCGAAACTAGCATCCTGTCGTCCAATTGCCGCTTCGGCCCTTGCGAGATCGTTGAAACTCGCATCGGGGCCAAAGAAGCTCGCGTTGATATACGGACAGTCCGGTGTCCCCTCACTACCCACCCCAACAGCCTTCTGTCCTCCCTGATACCCTCCTACTACATTGCTTCCGGATGCAGCACGTGTTTTGCCGCGGTTCATGGCTTGGTTGGCGGGAGAAGTTCCCATGCGCAACGAGGCGGTTTGCCACGGTTGCTTCTGCCACAGCGCTTCAATGTCGTCAAACGAATTCGCCGTCACAGGTGCAACTTGCCCATCAAAGGGCAACTTGGCACGAGCAAGTTCGGAAGAATGCGCCAGACTGTGCGAGCTATTGCTGCTCGAGCCGGGCGAGTTGTACGCAGGCGGTGTGCGCTGTGCCAATCCAGGCGTAGACCCATTCGAGTATCCCGACGATGCCGAATACCAGCTCGGATTGCGAATCGGTAGACTGTCCATCGACCTGCTTCCCAACGGCCCACCGCCTCGAACACCACCCGCAGGACCCACTGCCTCGTCTGCCTTGCGCTTGTTCCGGTTCGACTCGGGTGGCTGAATCGCACGCGCCCCATCCAGAGCCAGCTTCGACTTGCTCGACAACGCCTGCAACAGCAGCCTCACGAACTTGAGATCGTCCGTGATCTGCGCGCGCAGTTCGGAGCTATCCCAGTCGCACGACTCTTGCGGATGCGTATCGAGCATGGATACAAAGTGGATCAGCACGAGCGATGAGATGATCGACATCTGCGCAAAGAACCAGAGCCGCGACACCGAGTTGTGCTGCGTGCGCATGCCCTCGCCGATCATGGCGCGCTGCTCGTCCAGCGTGGCATTCTCGCGCGGCGTGAACCACTTGAACGCGTTGCGGAAGACCTTGATGATCAGCATGGACGCCGCAAAACTAATGTCGCGCGACTCCTTGTACTTTGGATTCGACCACGACTGCACATAGAAGCGCTTGTGCAGCGTGAGCAGCTGCATCTGCACGGCGAGCGCCATGGCGCTACGATGCCAGCGCTCCGGGTTGTCCGGGTCGTCCGAGTCGATGAGCGACTCGTCGAAGCGCAGATGCTCGGGAATGGAGGCCTCGATGGCGACGACCTCCTGGTGAAGCTGCTTGGTGAACTCGTACGCCTCGTCCTCGCTCATGCGGATGCGATGGCTGGCGCGACGCGAGACGTCGCTGAGCTTGAGCTTGTAGCGCATGGGCACGGCGATGATGTCGTTCGTGTCGGCGTCGGGCCCAAAGAGCGAGGGCAGGCTGGTGTTGGCCGGGTCGATCATGTAGCTGCGTTTGACGTTGCCGGCGGAAAACCAGTCCTGGATGCAGATGGTGGCAAAGAGGCTGATGCGGTCCTTGCGCTCTTCGAACGGCAGCGACTTGGGCGGCTCGACGTCGAGCTGAAGCGCGTAGGCCATGAAGCAGATATTGGCGATCATGGCCGAGCCGACGGCGGGGCCCTTGAGCGCACTGAGGCACGAGCTGAGCAGGATCATGGTGCGGACGTTGTCGATGTGGAGCTCCTCGTAGATGTCGAGCATGGAAAGGGCGTGCTGTGCGGCGTCGAGGAAGATGGTGAAGGCCTGCTTGCCGTACTTTTCCGGGAGCGAGTCAGCTTCGATGGGCTCGCCAAACACGAGCACGGCGCCGCAGAGTGCGTGGATGGTGGCGACGAGGCGCAGCGAGTCGCGCATCTCTTCGTAGCGGTAGGCGTCGGGGCGGCCGTCCCAAAAGAGGCGCTGCTCTTCGATGTTGCGGAGGCGTTTGCGGAAAGTCTCTTCGGGCAGGAGGTGCGCCATCCAGGAGAGCTCGCGGAAGTAGAAGTCGGTGAGCGCACGGACGGTGCTGTTGTCGGGGAGGAGCTTGAAGAGCTCGAAGAGCGTCCTGCGCGTAAGCTCCTCCGAGGAGACTTGGCTGGTTTGGGAGATGCCGAAGCCGAACCCCCAGGAGATGGGGCCGATGCCGTAGGATGGCTGTGCATCGTCGGGTCGAGTGGAGGTGGCGGCGAGGGCAGCGCGGTTGGCCTCGCTGGCGCCGAGTTCGGCGAGGGTGGATAGTTTGGAGGTGGATGCATTGGCGCTGCCCGGATTGGTGGAGAGGGAGCTGGAAGAGGAGTACTTGCGTTGTGCAACGCCTGGAGTGAGGGTGGCCGAGGCAGGCGAGTTTTTTGTGCCGGGCAGATCGACGCCGAGGGAAGCGGCGATGGCGCCCATCATTGCTTCGAGACGGTCGAGACGGTCGTTCGTTTGGGATGCGTCTCCGGTGTCGCGGCCGGTAGTCTGTGGACGGACGCCCTCTGCCCACTCACACTTGCTCGACTCGTTGCGATCGCGGCAAGCGCCGCAGGGCCAGCCGCGGTCGCATTTGAGTTTGCGGCGACGACATGGTTCGCAGGAGACGGCCTTCTTTGTGGACTTTTTCTTGGAGGCGTCGTTGGCAGCCTGTGCGGAAGAAGCAGTAGGATCCGAGGCGGACGACATGTTGGTGGGCGGTGAAAGCGTGTGCGGAGGATTCGAAGCGGAGGTGGGTGTGATGCGTGGACTGGCAACGTGACGCTGGGCTGGGGTCGAGTAGGGTGAAGAGGGTCGATTGGCGAGGTAGCTGGAATGAGGATAGGCAGAAGGGTCTGGACGAGGCGAGGCGCTGGATAGAGGATAGAGGGGCGGTGGCAGGGTGGATCGCGAAGGCAGAGACGATGAAGTTGACGCGAGAGCGGTACGAAGGGGCGGGAGGAGGCGGTGATTGGAGGTGGTGGTGGAAGAAGGGCTGGATTGGTGGTGAAGCTGAGATGACGTGGCCTGATGCCCTGAAGCGAGAGGCTTGGGCATGTCCAGATGCGAGCGAGAGGACGGAAGGAAGGTAGAGGGAGGGGCAGCCAAGGTATCAGATAGTAAGCTAGGTTGGGCGAGGGGGAGGGGAAGGGCGTGGGCGAGGCGGTGTTGGAACGACGAGGAGAAACGTGCGTGTGATTCGAGGGCGAGGCGCACTCGGTATCGGCTAGACGAGCGTGTCTCTCATGCAAAGCTGAAGCCGGAGCTGCAGTGATGCTGCCACGCGACGGAGAGTCTCGAGCTCGTTCCAGGTCGTGCAAGAGCGGTGTACGAACAGCAACTACGGAGATAGAGCGTGGCTTGCCAGAGTAGCAGCACGATGAGCAGGAGCTGCAACGACGACCAGGGATGGGCAAAGGTGGACAGACGAGACGGTACGGATACCGTAGCAAGACGGATGGCCAAGTCCGAGGACTTGGACGGAGTTGCGAGCGAGCGGGCGTGCGGGCGAGCGGGAAGATAGACTGGTAGGTTGCCGCGGCCCCGTGTGAGCATGGAGGTCGATGCACGGCGACGCTGTCCTCCCACCTTTTTTTCTGCCTGCGGGACCTGCATGCGAATGCTTGAAAAGGCGAAATCTTGCCCTCGTTCGACTCAGCTCCCGCGGAAGCCGAGCTGCATGGCATTTCGCGTGCGAGAGAAGAAAAACCTGGGAGGTGTAAGGCCGATAGAGACAAACATTGGAAAGAAGCTGTTACGCCGCTTGCTTGAACACAACTTGTCGCGACCTCGCCGGAGTTGGATGTGCAGCTGAGCCGATGCTTCCGGCAAAGAGAGTGCGGAGGCTGCGATTGGCTGGAAATTTGCATTCCAAAAACACCGAAAAATGCGCGCATCCCACACTGCCAACGCCGGCCATTGCGTGCATCGAGTAGCCGGTGGGGCGGGCTGGGAGAGCGGGCGAGCTTTACATCATCACCGCCTGCGGGGGGGGGGGGCCGCGGCCCGTCCGCCCA